TTCTTTTCACATCCAGAGAAATATTCTGCCTTTTCAATATTTCCTAGGATATTTCATTTTTCTGGGAGAGGGCTGGGTGATAACTTCCTATAGCGTAATGGAGGGTAAGAAGAAATAAGAAAAAAATTCAGAAGGCTTGCCGAAATGCTATCTTCCTAGCAGATGTCCTTAGGCAGGAAAAGGCAGAAGGAAGGGGGACATACCTGAAGAGGTGGCAAGGAGTGGGAGTTCAGGGAATCTGAAAGTAGTATGGGCATGGAAGCGGAAAGGACCCTACCAGTGTGTTATATGCAGAAAAGAAGGATATTGGAAGAGTGGGTGCCTGGTGGCTATAGCCATGCAAGAAGAAAAAGAAGGGTGAAGAGGCCAGGGGCAGGGAGCTGTTGCTCCCACAACCCACCTCTGGTGGAAGTCCAAATTGGGGGATCTAAACATAAGATGATAATAGATACAGGAGCCAGTAGATCTGTCTTTAACAGACCTATTGCTCCTTGGACTACGGATGAGATACCTTTTGTTGGGGCTTCAGTAAAGGCTATAATGTGCCTAAAACAAGTAAAGCCCAAATTGCACAGCAGGAGGTGAAAACCTAGGGTATGGCATCTCTACAGGACAGCAGAGACTGTTAGCCTGAAGAGGGAATCAATCTATTAAAGCCCTCTGTTAATAGAAAACAATTGGGATTCTTGAGGGATGGCTGGTTTTTGTAGAATTTCGATTCTTAATTTTTGATTTTATGTCAAGCCCCTTTATGAGTCTGTTAAAGGGGGGGGGAATATTTGAATGGATTAGATAATGCCAACAAACATTAATAGCAAATATGTCTTTGGAGTCTTGCATGCCCATGAAGCCTTATGAAAGGAAAGAGGATTATTAAATCCAAAAGAATCAACTGTTAAATATAGCGCACAAATTTTAAAATTATCGGAGGCAAGGAGGGGGATGATGGGTGGTGGAGGGTAGAGAGCAAATTTGTTCTACCAAATACACCTCTAAGGATTTAGAGATACATGCTAGCACACATTGGGGGTCAAAAGCACTGGCAGATTTTATGACATGCTGGGTAGTAGGCAAGGGTCTCTATTCCACTGTCTCCAAGCTGTAGCAGCTTGTCTGATTTGTGCCAGAAATAATCCAAAAGTAGACAGGTGCCCACCCCTATGAATCCAATGTAAAGGCAACTACCCAGGGACAATTTGAGAAATAGTCTTCACTGAATTACCTAGAAAGCAAGGTTTTAAGTATGTTTTGGGACTAGAATGTACCTTCAAAGCAGAGGTGGGTTCCTACCAGTTCGCACCTATTCGGTAGAACCGGTTCGTCAAATCTACTGAACCGGTTAGAAGAGGTTCCACCAGTGGACCAGGNTGCACTCTAGCCATTGTGCCACCAGGGCCCTTCCTTCCTTCCGTGAAATACTGCATTCTAACCACTGCACAACTTTAAGTGGTCTTTTAGCTCAGGGGGTCTCCAACCTTGGGCCCTTTTAAGACTTGTGGACTTCAACTCCCAGAATGCATGCGCTGGCTGGGGAATTCTGGGAGCCGAAGTCCACAAATCCTAAAGGGCCGAAGGTTGAAGAGCCACTTCAGCTCACATCCTCCCTCCATGATGCTATTGTCTCAGCCACGGGGATTGGCTGGGGCCGGAAATGTCCTGCAGAGGCACACCGGGAGCCCTCCCGGCCCCCCCTCCCGTTACCTCCAGGGGGTTCCCACGCCGCAGGGCCAGTTCTGCCTGGTAATGCTGCACTGCTCGCACATGGTCCTTCAGGTCCCCGAAGGTGGCGGCCAAAGAGACGTGGATCACAGCCAGTTCCTGCTCCGTCCGCCCCAAGGCCTTGGCATGGCCGAGCTGAAAAAGGAGCCCCCTGTTTAGGGTCCTGGAGACCTTCCGGAAAGAGACCCGAATCCTGCATCGGCCGGGCTTCCACCCCACTGCCTGACCAAGCGGCTAAGATTTCATCATGTTTAAAATCATGATTTTGTTATATTTACTTTTTTTTAAATATACATAAGTACTTAGTGAACAATGTATTGTCTAAGTCATTTTAGATTTACAAAACATTCATAATTCTGAAATTAATAATAGTAGTTAAAATAGTAATAGTGAGGATCAGTTTATATACAATACTTCTACTACTACTATTCCAGTATATCTGATAATAATCTTTCAGCTTCTAACAATTGCATCTACACAGTAATGTTAATATATTATACAGCAATATACGTAGTAATATTTTCCCCATTCTAACTCTGTTTTCTAACTCTTGATCAAACAAGTCCTCTATTAAGAAGTATTCTATCTATCCATCATCTCTCACCCTTTTTAGTCTTTCAACTCTCTGAACAGAGAAGAATAACAGAGTTAGAAGGGACCTTGGAGGTCCTCTAGTCCAACCCCCTGCTTAGGCAGGAAACCCTACACCAGACAAATGGCAATCCAACATCTTCTTAAAGACTCCCAGTGTTGGAGCATTCACAACTTCTGGTGGCCAGTTGTTCCACAGATTAATTGTTCTAAAACAATTAATTAATTCCCCTTCCTTCCTTCCTTCCTTCCTTCCTTCCTTCCTTCCTTCCTTCCTTCTTTCCTTCCTTTCCCTTCCCTTCCTTACTAGAATAACAGAGTTGGAAGGGACCTTGGAGGTCTTCCAGTCCAACCCACTATTCAGGCAGGAAACCCTACACCATTTCAGACAAATGTTTCTCCAATCTCTTCTTGAAAACCTCCAGTGATGGAACACCGAGAACTTTTGGAGGCAAGTTGTTCCACTGGTTAATTGTTCTCACTAAGGAAGTTTCATCTTAGTTCTAAGTTGCTTCTCTCCTTGATTA